TTTTAATGTGAATTATAAAAATACAAAATTACCAACAAATTTACTTTAAAACTAAAAAATTCAACATGTAAAATAAAGCTACAAGACCACAAGAGCTACTTAAAAGTGCACACTTTAACATATTACTCAATCCCTAATCAATTTTGAGTAAGACTCATCAGATGAATAAATCACACAGGGCAATTCAATAACCCCCAAAATGGTAAAAAGCCTGAGACCATGCACTACTTTTTTTCTAAAAGCACTAAGAAACTAGTGCTGCTTATTGCAAATTGTGAAAATGAACTGAGTAAAGTTACTACGTATTTCTAAAGAAATTTTCCAAGTTAATATTTCTTAAGAGTTAAAAATAATCAGTTAAAACCTTTCAAGAATACATACTTCCGAATCAGTTAAAAATATTGCTTTCCCGAAACTGTACGAACCCAAAATAACTTCTGCTTTATGTACAGATCACATGCAGTGTGTCACATGGCAACATCTTCTGTCACGTGGCAACAAGCTGTTCTGGTGCAGGACAAAAAATTCTATCTAACTACAAAACCAGCTTTAGCTATACTAATTCTATTGTGTTGTGACACAAACACTGAGTTGTTCATTTTAGATGGAAACTAATAAGTAATTAACATGCTGACTTTTAGGGTACCCATCTTTGAGAGTATATCTTTTAGTGACAGTTACTAAGCATACTTTACTAAAAATACAGCTCGGTTGGCACAACCCCACCCAGTAACTCTTTCCTGACCCTTTCCAGGCAGCCTACAATGTTTCCCTGTCAGTCTGTAGGCAGGAAAAAGTACAACAAGGCTCAATCAGGGAGTAGACCTAACCACCATCATCATCAGTAACATACTAAAAGCTTGGTTCTACTTTCAGGAAAGTATCAGAAGAAGGCTCTTTGTTCACAGGCTGGCTTGAGCTCCTAGTTCCATAGCTTACTAGCTTTGAAAACTGTACAAATCACTCAATCTTTCCATACCTCACTTTTCCAGAAGGTTTAAGAAAAGCCTTTATCAAGATCTGATAGAGTGTAAAGAATCAGTAAGTAGCAATGTTTATCAGAAAACTAAACAGAATATCCCAGGTTGGAAGGAAGAGGTTGTAGCATTGAAGTGGGGCAAGGGTACCAAGCTCGGGAACTGAAGGCAAAAACACAAATGAAAAAGATACTCAGAGGTTGAGACCTACTCCTCGGGGCCAAATGGGCAGGACCCGCTGACTTCCACAGTTCTTAAGGTTCAATCCCTATGCCTGCACCTCATTTCTAAGACCTTCATCTCCGCTCACCTTCAACTACCATTCTATCAAGGCTTAGAAGACAGGAATGCCTATTCCCATCACCTGGGTAGGTGGCAGGAAATCTCATAACCTACTCATGAGAGTGCTACATGCACTTGCCCCTAGAAACAGTCCTATAAACAGTAGCTAAAAATCTACAGTGATATACAGTATATCCTTTTTTAGGTACATACTGGGTAAAAAGCCATCCACAGGCTGAAGAAAGGGCTGATAATCACCATGTACAATAAAATATTTTCACATTCTCAACATGTCTTTTAAACAAAGCTTGAGTATAGACCAGGGATTTAGCTCAGTGGCACTGCGCAAGTGCAAGGTGCAAGGTCCTGAGTTCGATCCGTGGTACCCAAAAAAAACAAAAAACAAAAAAAACAAAGCTTGAGTACATAACCTGTTGGTAAGCTGTTGACATGGACTCAGTAGATAGATTTTCAAAATGTAAAGATTACTTCCATATGCTGAAGAACTCTCAAAAACATACAAATACTTACTGTAATTTTAATAGCTTTGTTCAAGACATTCACCCATTCCACTAGGTCTTGCTGATCATTGGCTTGAAGGAAGTATTTCCTCATTCCTGCATTCATAACTGGTGAGAGAAAAAAATAAACACATGAAATTATACTTGTTACCTCTAGATTTGTAGCAGCTCAAAAATCTTGTTAGATTCAAAATTATGACATTCTTGGATTTGACAAAATATATTAGGCCCTAATAAAATACTCAATTACATAGTTAAAACTCTTTTCTTATAGCCATATTTTTCATTAAATAGATATACCATAATATAGCAAGTCAATCCTCCAAGGATGGACACGTAGGCTATTTCCAATTACCAGAATTAGATAAAACATCCCAATGGAACATCATATACAAATACATATATGTGTGTGTATATATGTATAATATATATCTATATTTTAACTCATATTTCTATGGACTAATTATCTTGATAGAGACTTAGTCACAGGGAATTCACATTTACAATTTTTACATTATTAGCAAATTATCTTCCTAAAAGGCTAGCCCTCTTTCATGCTGCACCCTGTTGGTCCAGGTCATGAGTGCCTGTGCTAGCTAGAAACCTTCTGCTTCCTGTCCTACGGCTCTGCAACACTGAGACTGGGAGTCTGCAAACACTAGTATTTCCTAGCCTTCCTTGCCAGCTGGGATCATGTTCTGCCAGTGGAGGTATTGGTGGCAACCCGAAAGGTGGGAGTGGAGAGGATGAGGGAAGAGATTTGCTGGTTCACACAACCTGCATCTAGTTTACCATTTCAGAACTTTCTGCAGCTCCCTCACCACCTTGAAGGGTCCCCTCAGATACCAATTACCAGCTCCTTGGTGGCTGTTCCTCCACTGTCCTGGGTGATATACTACCTCTTCACTTTTGTCTCTAGCCCTCCAGTGGAAACTGCTTCATAGAGTTGCTAGTTAATTTCTTGGTTACTTTGATATTCCCTTCAATATTCTACTTTCCAACATTCGGGTAAACAACTCCCTTCATACTGAAATACCTTAGGTAGTATCTTCCTGACTGAAACCTAATACAGACCTAACTGTATTTACTTAAACCTAACTAGTGAATAATTATATCTTAACTTTGAACTTGATTGAGACAAATTAGTTTTGTATGTTTATCAGTCATCTGTATTTGCTTTGTGAGCTTTATTTTCTTTACTGATATTTCTCCTGTTCATTTACCTTTTATTAATTCATAGGAACTTGTATAATAATCCTTTCTCTTTCATTTTTAAGTACTTTCCTTAGTCTGTACTTTGTCTTTTTACTTTGTTCATGGTATCTTTGATTAAATAGAAATATTCCATCAATTTTTCCTTTAATGCCGCTAGATTTTATACATTTGGAAAACTTCCCTAACTTAATATTATAAAAACAAACATCTTTATTTTTCTATTCCATGTAAGTTTTATTTATATTTAAAGTTTTAATATATTTGGAGCTTTATATGCAATTTACCATCTCTTTAGGGAATAGACTATATAAAGCAAAGCACATCTTCACAAATAGTTGTTTACAAACTTAACATAGCTGTTGAATTAAAACTATTTTGCATCATGTGCATTTATTTTTTTAAAACTAAGTATTATTCTAGGAACAAAGGCACCTAAATAACATCCTTGTTGTAATCATTTGAATATAAAAGTGACTCAAAATGCTCCACCAAAACTTTAAATGATATACTAGCACCCAGCTGAATATGACTGAGAGAAGGAGGAAATAAAAACTCTCAAGGAAAAAAAAAAATTTCTCAAACACACAAAATTTTGAAACTGGGATGGAGACCAAGGCACTAAACCAGGGCTTCCTTGGCTGAGACGAGAATCTCAAAAAGGAAGTAAAGCACATCATGTGAAGTGCCACTGAAAAATTAATCTGGAAAATAAAGAACTTTTAACACACTATAAATTATTCTTTTATAGCTTTCCAGAGGTTAGAGAAATCATAAATACCATAAATATATTTTAAGATAAAATAGCAACTCAATATGACACATAAATGTTAATAAACACCTTCTGTTTTTAACTCTTGGCAATCGATATGGTATGCTTTTAGAATCTTTTCCCAGCTCTCCTCATAATGGCTTCTTCCCCTCAATGTTGTTTTGGGCATTTGCTCAGCACACTGAAAAGTTTAAAAATCTAAGAATTTATCAATACACTACACTTGGTAGAAAGTTACTGTTTAATATGTACATTTCTGAACGAATAATATTTATACAACATGTTAAGAGAAGAAAGAAGTCAGTATACCTCTGAAAAGATTCTTGGCACACCTTGCAGTCTTGAATAAAAACTCAAATGCTTTTATTATTCTAGAGCAAGAAGGGCATACTGATGTGCTACAGAAAAAAAAAAAAATCCAAGCCTGGAATCAGTCAGACCAAACTGTCTTATGTTTTTACAAGTAGCATCATTTTATAAACATCATTTGATCTCTCTAAACCCTGTTTTCCTCATATATGAAATGGGAATGCCACTCACTCCTTCCACGGGGGGTGGAAATGAGGTCTGTAAAGAAATTAGTACAAGCTGGGCATGGTGCCACACATCTGTATTTCCAGTGCTCTTAAAGGCTGAGGCAGGAGGATCTCAAGTTCAAGAACAATCTGGGCAACTTAGGAAGACCCTATCTCAAAATAAACTTTTAGGCTGGGGATTTAGCTCAGTGGTTCCGATGCCTGCCTCGCAAGCACAAGGACCCGAGTTTGATCCCCAGTGCCAAAACAACAACAACAACAACAAAAAATAAAATTTAAAAATAAAATAAACTTTTAAAAAGAGTTAAGCTGGTTCAAGTCCCAGTATTGCAAAATTAATTAATTAAAATCTAAAAAAGAAAAAACCACCACAGTGCTTAGGACAGACTATTCCTCTCCATCATCATCTTCTGGAGATTTCTAAGGAGTATAGAAATGTTGTGGGAAACAAAGAAAATCACTGAAAGGTAGTGTATTTGCAATATTTGGAGGAGGAGGGCAGACAGGGAAAGGAAGAAATAAATTTTGAATAAAAAAAAAAAAAAAACAGCTAGGACACCTCTAAGTTGCCATGCTTTTTAAGCAAGGTTTCACTGTGAATAATGACTACATCCCTAGGTTTGCGTCCTTCCAGGCTTTTCATTTGGGCACTTAATTTTATTCCCAATCTTTACCACCAGAGTAAATAAAACAAATGGATAAGCACGAATATAAGCTTGACTGTAAATAAAAATCATCTCACAATTGAGGACTAATTTATGACCCAAATATAGTTATGAATCCTGATGAGACACTTTGTCTTATTGTCAGTTTTCTCAATTAAAAAAAATTATTACTATATATTAATTGTAAAGAATAGGTTTCATCTTGGCATGATTGTAAATGCATGTAATAACATACTTTGATCATTTCCAACCCTCATTACTTTCGTTACCCTTCTTCCTTCCTTTCCTCTTTATAGCTTTCCTCTTCTCTAATAGTCTCCCTTCTGCTTTCATGTTGTCCTTTTATTCCTCATACAAGAGAAAACATGAGGTATTTGTCTGAGTCTGGCTTATTTTAATATGATTTCATTCTTCATTATGGTTGAATAATATTCTGTCGTGCACATACATTTTCTTTATCCACTCATCAGTTGACTGGCACTGTTTCCATAACTTAGCTATTGTGAATTGTGCCACAACAAACATGAGTATGCAAGCATCTCCATAGTATGCTGACTTTAATTCTTTTAGGAATATACTTAAGAGTGGTACCTCTGGGATCAATGGTAGCTCTATTTTTAGTTGTCTGAGGAATCTCCATGCTGATTCTCATATTGGTTGTACTAATATATATATACTGCCATCAACAGTATATACGGATTCCTTTTTCCCACATCCTCATCAGCATCTGCTGTTTTTTGTATGCTTGATAACAGCCATTCTGACTAGGATGAAATGCAATCTCAATGGAGTTTTCATTTGCACTTCCCTAATAGCTAACGAAAATGAACCATTTTTCATATACTTCCTAACCATCTGTAATTACTCTTTTGAGAAGTGTCTATTTGGTTCATTTGCCCATTTACTGACTGGGTTATTTGGTTTTGTGGTGTCTTCTGAGTCCTTTATATTCTACAACTTAATCCTTTATATTCTACATATTAATCCTCTGTCAAAAAGTATGTGGCAAAGATTTTCTCCCATTCTGTAGACTGTCTCTGCACTGTTGTCTCCTTTGCTGTGCAGCTTTTTAATTTTCTGTAATCCCATTTGATAACTGTTGCTGTTATTTCCTGTGCTATTGGAGCCCTATTTAAGTGTTTCCCTTATGTTTTTTTCTAGCAGTTTCAAAGTCTCAGTCTTACACTTAGGTTTTTGATTCATTTAAAATTTCATATTGTACAGGGCTGAAAAATGGGAATGTAATCTCAATCTTCTACCTGGGATATCTAGTTTTCCTGGCACCATTTGTTAAAGAGGCTGTCTTTTCTCCAACATATGTTTTCAGCATTTTTTTCAAGAATCAGATAGTTGTACTTTTATGGTTTTTGTGTGTGTCTTTTCTATTCTATTCCATTGGTCTATGTAACTATTTTTAAGCCAGTACTATGCTGTTTTTGTTACTATGAATTTGTATTTTTTTGAAATCAAGTATTATGGTATCTCCAGCACTGCTCTCTTTGTTTAGGATCACTTTGGCTATTCTGGGTCTTTTGTGCTTCCACATGAATTTTTAGGATTATTCTTTCTAGTTCTTTGTAGAAACTTGTTGGGGTTTTTTGTTTTGAGACAGGGTCTCACTATGTAGTTCAGGCTGGCCTATTCCTGTCTCAGTCCACTGAATGCCATCACATCCAGCACAGCTGTTGGTATTTTGATGGGTAGTACAACCTGTAGATTGCTTTTAGTAATACGGTCACTGTAACAATGTTAATTCTGCTGATCCATGAACATGGAGATCTTTCATCCTGTGCTATCATATTTCATTACTGGATACATATAAGGGGTGATCAAAAAATACGGTGAATCCAGAATTTTTTTTTTTTTTTTTTTAAACTTATTTTAATAAAGACACATTGCTGAGAATGGTGCAGTAAATGTGTTTGAAACAAAGAGAAGTGTTTTGAGTATTGGAGTGGGGGTGTTCTTTTACTGTAATAAAATTGCTAATTCAAAGAGTTACAGTATTTTTTGTTTTTGTGCCCCCCCCCCCATTCTGGAGATTGAACTCAGGACTTTGCCCTCACCAGGCAGGCACAATGCTGCTGAGCTACATCCCCGGCCCCATTTACAGTATTTCTGATCAAACATTTACAGCAATTTGTGTCAAATAAAATAATACACTGTGTCCTCATCTGCCTTATTCACCAGATCTGACACCATGAGACTTCTGCCTCTTCCCTAAAGTGAAAATGACTATAAAAGGTAAATTCTTTGAATCAATTCAGGACATCAAGACAGCCACAATAGCACAACTAAAGACACTCACAAAAGTGGACTTCCAGAGCTGCTTCAGAAAGTGGCAGGAAGGATACAATAAGTGTGTTCAAAGTGAGGAGTATTTTGAGGGGGATTAATGGCAATGTGTCTTTTACTGTAATAATTTCAGAAAATTTTTAACATTCACTGTATTTTTTTATCACACCTCATGATTGTCATCAGATGCTACTTTTAACATACTGCTTGCTAAGAAAGCTGTTTCTTGCAAGCAAAGGAGAGCAAAGAACTTGCCAATCATTGCTCAATCACGGCCACTAGAACATGTCCAGTTAAAAATTTACTTTAATCATATTAAAATTAATCACCTCCAGTGAGAGTTCAGGTATTTTTAAACCATGTATTATTCTATACTAAACATAAATAATGAAAAGGATTTGGTCTTCAGCTTGTGAGGAATGAGAAATTTACAGTTTGGAGGCAGGAATAGAACAGGTATTATCTTAATGAACAAATACTTAGTGAATGCCTAGTATATGCCAGGTACTGTGCTTACATTGGGACAATGAAGTTAATAAATAGTTGCTACCCTTAAGGATCTCACAGGCTGGCTGTTTCACAGACAGATACAATATCAGGTTATGAATATATTTATCATGGTTAGTAGGTAAAGATGAGTACAATCTATTTAAGAAGCACCAAGAAAGAGCTTCCCACCCTAATGAAGAAGCTTGAGTCAGGGGAGCCACAATGAGGAGACTCTTGAGCTGTAATTCATGCTTTACCACTTGGGAGAAAAGGTGAGAGGACTACATGTGCAGAGGTATGCAGAGAAGAGTGTAGAGTGAATGGAACTCAACACTCGGGTGTGCTGCGATTAGGATGGGACACAGGAAAGAGCCTCTGGAATTGCAGATGTGGAAAACATTTTATTTCCTCATCTGGACGGTGGTTGCAAATCCTAAGTTATACTTTGTTTTCTACACAGTGTTTTTCTAATATGATGTAATTATATCAGTCTAGTTTAAAATAACTATCACAAGGGTAATCTTTTACAATTACTTTTTTCTTTCTCAATGGCACAAAAAATAATCATATAATAGCATTTTAGAATTTATTAAAAGTAACAACTGCAATATGAAAATCAGAAGGAACCCGGTTTTAGGACTCATCAGTAAGGGCAAATCTGTAAATTACGTCTGGATGACACCAAGAAGTATTATGCCACAAAGCTAATGAAGAGGCAGGATGAAATTACCAATCTGGAACATTTAATAGTGGCAAATTCAATTTTGATAGGAAAACAAATAAGAGCCAAGACTAAAGGACTAATTCTTGGGAAGTATCTATATTCAGGGTTGAGAATGAAAAAGAAAAGCCAACAGTGAATAATAAAGCAAATCTGTTCAAAAGAAAAAATAATAACTACATAAAATACAGCTACTTACCAAAACAGAACTCAGCTTTTGGCCTTAGCTTAGTTGCATCGCTAACCTACCAAGAAAAAGAAATGAACTGCTCAATTCTTCATACACTACTATAACCAAACTTAAATACTGTATAAATGTCCATGTGCATGATTTTTCAATGATCACACACATAATCACTGGGAAATTAAACTTTAAAACGTTCTTGCTGGCTTGAACCACTGGTGGTATATGCATGACTCCCACTGGGTAGCTTGTACCACTCCTGATACAAAGAGATCTAATCACTTTTATCAGTCTTTTTACTACTAAAATTAATAAAGTCTATACAGTAAGTGGACCAAATCTAGTTAGTTGTTTGATTTGAATAATTACTGCCTAAATATATTAATACTATTCATACTAACTTAAAATTAACAAATTTCATTAAATTAAAAGAAATTTATTTATATTCATGAATTTCTTTAAAACATCTACATAAAGGCAGCTGATTTGTGCAGAATGCACAAAACCTCATAACATGTTTGGCTTTTTTCAAAGCCACGGCAGTACCCATTTTTTCAAATAGTCATGCATGCCTCGCAAGCTCAAAGTCCTGAGTTCGATTCCCAGTACAAAAATATCAAAAAATCAAAAAGTCATGCATGTACTGCCAGTGGTTCAAGCCAGGAGGATCAAATTGAAATCAGAGCCACCCAGTGGTGAGACATGAATTATGGTCCTGTCATGAATGTGTTAAAAGCAACTAAAAAAAAAAAAGGCCAGAAACCAGCAAACTACATCTAGGATCTGGGTCCCAATATTAATATAGTTAAGACAAATGATACTTTCATGTTTTCTTTGAACAAACTTTTTTCTCCAAAGGAAATGTGAGAAGTTCAAAGTAAACCAGCAGGTGTTATGTCACACATATAAGTATTTTTATTTAATATAATCTTCAAAATGCACTCAATGACTACAGAAATGATGAATTGTTCTCAAATTGCATATTTCTTAATTAGCTGTGAACTACAAGTAAAAACAGTCGTGGGCAAAGGGGAGACTGAATATCAAAGTTGAAAAATCCAGAAGGTATTAATCAACATGGTACTTAATTCCCTCTTATACAGAAGACTACGCCATGGATCACTTCATTAAATGCAGCACAAGATTCATTTCAAAAGGTGAAGCAATTAGCCACATCTGGTTTCTCCCATCTCTTTAAATAAGCTCTCAGAAACCCATTCATGACTATAGCTATGTTGTTGCCCAGTGATATAACTCATAATTGTGGTGTCTGTTTTGTACCTCCAAAAGGAATTCTAAATCTGGGGTTTTCAACCGATCCTAACTACAAATGCACAGCTGAGTCACACTGAAGCTTGTCCTAGGAATAAATTCTGTCAAAAAAAACCACAAAAAAACCTAGCATGTCTAAAGTAGAGTACAAACTGTACAACTCAAACTCCAGTATGCTGTAGGGCAGAGATGGAAGATAACAGCACTGCATAGAGAAGAGGCTGTACAGTATTTTAAAAGGGAAGTAGTGGAAGAGGGAAAGTAGCTGGGCAGTCTCTCTGCCTTCTCCACTGAGTTAATACTTTCAGAAAAAGTTCCAATTTTTAAAAAGATTAGGCAATAAACAATTGAAAAGACATGGGGAGATGGGTAATCTCACTCTCAACTGCCTAGTCTAAAAAAATAGTACTTCTACACCACTTTGTTGGAGTAAAAAATGCTTAGCAAAAACATAAATATATTTAGTGGTATATTTTCACTACATTATACATGTACCATAGGTAATCAAGTAAACTAGAAATCTAAAGTTTATTTTACAATGGAATTCTATCTTTTCTACTAATAATCTCTATAAAATTGAGGCTGCAAGCTACCCTGAATTTTTTAAATGTCTTAATTTACAGGAACATGACATATCAATATTTGTATTTTACAAATATATGTAATATAATTTTAACAGAAAAAAAAAATACATATATATATATATTTTTTTTTTTTGGTACTCGGGATCAAACTCGGGACCTTGCGCTTATGAGGCAGGTGCTGGAACCACTGAGCTAAATCCCCGGCCAAGAAAATATTTCATTTTAAATATGTACTCTTTACTGTTCAATAGCTTATACATACATTTTTTATCAGAGAATGAATTAACAATAATTCTGATAACAAAGTTTTCATTTATAAAAACATTTGTCTTTTGGGCCGGGGATTTAGCTCAGTGGTGCTGGCGCCTGTCTCACAAGTACAAGGTCTTGAGTTTGATTCCCAGTACCGGGAAAAAAAAAAATGTGTCTTTTAAATAGAGGAATTTGTAAATTAGTATTCTGTTGTAGTGATCCATCTTTGCCGATGGAATGCAGCATATGCATAACAGTGCACGTTATCTAACAGCACTGTGTTTCCACTTTTGCATCTCATGTTTTAAAGCATCAATGCATTTTCATGGCTTTTATGTAAAATAAAGCAAACAGAAAATACAATGCTAGCACTATATTACTGTCCAAAACACTAACAGAAGAAAAACAGAAAAGTATCTGACCAATATAAAATCTGAATTTTTGAAAATGAGAAATACTACTATAAATACAGAAAAACACTAAGAAAACAGAAACTAGCAGATGCAAAGTAAAGAGGACATGAAGATGGTCCACATTTTCCTTCAGATATAAAGAAAAACACATGTCAAAAGCAATGGGATTTAATAGTTACAAAAAGTCTAAATAAATGTAATACAGACTTAGAAAAATCTCCAGACCCTCTTAAGATACACCCTAACTATAAACTTGTTCCTCCCTTTCTAATGTTCATGACCTGACCATAAAAATTAATATTAGCTTTTGCAACTTGCCACATCCTGTAAGTTAAATTCATATTCTTCCCAATTTTATCAATTTAAGGAACTTCATAACCGTAGTTTTCAGGATGATGTGAACCTGAGCATCCTTAAATGATACAGGAAGCTGCTAGGGGCTGCTTCTGTTCACACTTCCATTGGGGGAGGAGGGGATTTTAATTCACAAGTAAAAGACAATGTATAATAGCTACCTTTGAAATGTAGGTAAGTTTAATAGCTCCAACACGTGATGATCCAGAAGGCAGGTTCTGAAACAAATTAATACATAATTATATTTGACACTATGAATTCATTTTATAACATGTTTTACATATACTAAAAATGGCAAGAAATTGAATTTCTTTTTTTTTTTTTGGTACCAGGGATTGAACTCAGGTCCTTGCGCTTGCGAGGCAGGCACCAGAACCACTGAGCTAAATCCCCAGCCCTGAATTTCTTAATATCACATTTTACTCATCAATATTTTCAGTTTCAGTATTTACTAAGTCTGAGACCATGACAGCTTAGATAACAATGCTGATTCTGTTCAATCATAATGCATTCTATGATTAAAAGGCTACTCTTATCATTATAGCTAAATTAATATTCTTTTTCATGATCATAAAGAGCCACACACAAAATCAAATTTTGTTTCTGAAAGCAATGGGAAAAATACTAAGAAGAATAAAACAAATACAATTATAAGAAATTTTAAAACACTATATGTAGTCTTTTAAATATATATATATAACTTTGTTCTATTAAAATGTCTTCTTCAAATATATCTCTTTAAAAAATGTATTGGATTTTTCCCTCATTTAAATGGTTTAGTATTTGTAATACTAATGCTGGGCTTACAAGCATGCAGCACCAAGCCCAGTTCAAATACATTTTCAAGTCTCTTCAAATTCATTTCCTAGTGTGGCTACTTAATTCTTCACCATTACCGACCTCCTCAAAAAAAAATACAGAAAGCCCCAAACTGATCCCCCACAGGACACTTGAATAGATTTTTAAACTTAGTGCGGAAAAAAAAAAGCAGTGAAAAGAGGAAGTGGCTTCCTAAGGACAGGTGAATCAGACTAATTTTCTTTCTTTACCAGGGTTATTGTGATCAGTATAACCATACTATTGCACTTTGACATGAGCAACAAAACTGAACCCCCAGGAACTGCCATTTTTTCAGTAATTTAAAAATGACTTTAAGGGCCAGGAATGTAGCTCAATGGCGTAGCACCTGCCTGGCAAGCACGAGGCCCTGAGTTCGTTTCCTGGTACCCAAAAAAATAAATAAATAAAAATAAAATAAAATGGCTTTAAATTAATAATTTCACATAGTTTAATCTAATACAATAATTCTAGCAACATGTTTTACTGACGTTTCCATGAACAGCTATATTTGATCATTTCATTTAAAAGTGACCAAAACTGGGCATGGTGATACATGTCTATAACCCTACTACTCAGTAGGCTGAGGTAGAAGTACTATAAATTCAAGCTCAATCTAGGGAAATTAGTGAGACTCTGTCTCAAAACAAAAATTTTTTTAAAAGGCAGAGGACATAGCTCAGTGGCAGAGCATTTACCTACCACGCAAGTCCCTGAGTTCAATTATAAGTACCACAAAGAGGAAAAAAGTGACACAAAGTTGAAATTAATGGTTAAATTCTAAAACAATTGGTTAAATTAGGATTTTAAAAGATTCTCATAAATCGGAAAGAGAAGATAAAATTAGTAAGAATTGAAAAAAGATTTAAAATTTAAAATTTTGTACTGTGTTCAGAAAAACCAATGCAATCCTTAAAATGGACATACAGCTTTTAAAAAGTTCATGTGAGAAGCTTGGGATGTAGCTCAGTAGTAAAGCCCATGCTCAGCATGCATGAAGCTTAAGGTTTGACTTTCAGCACTCAAGCCCCCCAAAAGTTCATGCAAATAAGACCTAGCTGAGTGTAACTTAACAGATACCCTTGCTACCAAAGCGAAATATTGTCCAGACATGCCTCAGGCTCTCTTGCCTTGATTTTTCTTTGCCCACAGTATTCTTCGAGCACTGGAGTACTCACTTGCAAGCTTCTCGATCAAAATCCTATTCAACCCTCTAGTCAATTTCAAATGTTACCACTTCCATGAAGATGTCAACTCCCTCTGTTAGCTGTAACTATACCCTTCCCTCTGAATTCAAAGTTTAGGTTTCATTCAAAGTGACAAATACATTCAGTTTTATACTTATCAATGTTTAGATCTGCTAAGTGAGAAGTTCTGAAAAAAGTTATAAGAAGAATCTATAATGCATAACGATAGAAACATATTCAAGAAGTTTTAAGTAAAATTCAGGAGAAACCATATAACAAGTTATGCAGCCCTCATGAAGAGAGGACCAATCTGGGAGTTTACAAAGACCAAAGTGCCATGGCTCTAGACGAGAACAAAGAGCTGAAATCCGGTAAACAGTGATTACAGGTAGTCAAGGTTCAGTTTCTACCTTGGGAAAAGGGAGTTTTTAAGGAGATCCTGTCCCAGACAAAGACACAGGGCCATAAAAAGGAGAATCTCTATCTGTCTATTTTTTTAAAATAAATGTGAACTTAGATTTCTGCTGACATGTTGTTTCTCCCACTGACTCTGGCCAAGTAAATAAAATTAATCATCATGTGGCTACACAGCCAGGTGGCTACCTCCCAAGAAAGGTGGTTACGCCCATGCCCATAGATAAGGGTGCAAAACAGGCTGTCAAGCTCTGCAAAGACAGTGATAGTAGACAGTTTCTAGAAAAAAAAACTCATACAAAGTAATTACTCAAATAATATATCAGAGATAGCACTTCTATCCAAAGAGGAGAAAATATATATACATGCATAAATTTTTATCAAATGAACTTAATTTTTTTTTTTTGTACCTGGGATCAAACTCAGCACCTTATGCTTGCAAGGCAGGCGGCAGACCCACTGAGCTAAATCCCCGGCCCTATCAAATAAACTTGAGTTTCATCTTCTAAAATTCAAACAAGACAGGGGTACAAGGTAGAGAAAGTGGAACCAGCAGAAATAAATCTAATTATTCACTGCTTAGGAAGGCAAATCCAAAAACTTATATGTCAAATATTTCAATAAATCAAACTTTTATATACTTTTAAAAGGTAATCTTTGGATTTGACAAACCTGTGGATTATCCATGTACCACACAAAACTATCTTCTCTGGTATCCAGTATGAAGTACCGTCGAAGAAATTTCCCACTGTTTTCATTTTCTTCAATATCTAGAAAACCACAAATGCGATTCTGACGATCCACATAAGGCATTTCTGGGCTTGAACATTACACTTTAAAAACAAACAAACAAAAACAAACAGTAAGCTCCTAGGAAAACGAAAAGCATTTTTTAGGAGACTTAAAGATTTAATTTGTGCTAGGGTGTAATCTGTTCAACAAGAATCCCACTTTCCAATGTTAGATGAAGCCTGCCAATATGAACCCACACCAACATCCAAAGCATGAGCAAAAATAACTTTAGAAATTAAATTTACTATGAATGCTTACTAAAGGCAACGGTTCACAAAGTTCTTTTCCATTGCATTATCTCATTTAACTGTCAAAACAACTCTATGAGTAGGCATCATCATCTCCATTTTACAGATAGGGAATTTTTTAACATTACACAGGAAGTGACTTTCCCAGATTACAGAATGAGTAGGAAAAAAATCAAAACTGGAACCCAGATTCCTGGAGTGTAGAATGTTATCTTAAGCTCTAAACCATCCTGTCTCTCTGAAAATCCTTTGAATTGTTAAAATCAAATTGAATCAGAATAAATGTAGGTAACAAAACAAAAAAAGAGGGCCAGGGATTTAGCTCAGTGGTTCTGCCGCCTGCCGCCTGCTGCCTGCCTCGTTCGTAGGTGCAAGGTCCTGAGTTTGATCCCCAGTACCAAAAAAAAAAAAGAAAAAAGAAAAAAGAGAGAGAGAGAGGCAGGTACTGTCTACCTTCTGATGAACAACATTCAGATAATACCTATGAAGGGAACACAAAAATGTTTTTATCTATATCTGATCAAGTTACTAGATCCCCTATATCCAACTACCGATTTACAGGAAATCCAGAACATAGGGGAAAAAAAAACAGTAAGTTTCTTCAGCAAATAAATTAATACATTAAAAAAAAGAGGAACAGGGAGAGAGGAGTTACAGATTACAACAGACAAAAGGCCTATCATATTCTGGCTCTAAAATTTTTTTTTCTGGTACTGGAAATTGAACTCATGACCAGGCAGGCAAGGCGCCACTGAGCTACATCCCCAGCTCCTGGTTCTAAAATATTTAAACTTTAGTTATACTGATTAAAGTTACAAATCATGACCTCGGTAAAAGCAGTGTTTTCAATAATTTTTGATTTAGGAACTATAGATTTATGATTCTTCCCCTGTGACCCAGTCCAAATCTTCAGACAACTATTCCTGTTCTGGTAATTCTATACCCAACAGCACATCTTTTGGCAAGATGAATTAATACAATTCGTTCATTGAAAGGCTGAAGGTAAATTTAATTCACAATGAAAATTCAATCACAGTGCACTTTGATATAGTGTGTATCTATATGACAATTCTGAATGTAGTCAAAGAAATTGTAAAAAATAAAAATTTTAAATGAAATTATCCATTAAATTTGTGTATATGTTATAAATCTGGTACTTAAAGTTTAAAAGGCTAAAGTGCAATTGAAGCTTGAAAAATTAATACTCTACACAACCAGATACTACAGGTAAAAACTAACTTGTATGGTACTGCCACGAGGACAGACACAGACAAATGAAATAGAATGAAGTGCCCAGAAATAACCATTACGTCTGCAGCCAACTGATTAACAACATGAGTGATAACATCATTCAACGGGAGAAATACTGTCTCTTCAATAAATGGTGCTGATATAACTGAATAACCACATGTAAACAATGAAGGTAGACCCTTATTTAACACCACATACTAAAATGAATTCAAAATGGATGAACAATCTAAATGTAAGAAATTAAACTATAAAACTTTTAGGAGAAAATATAAGGGTAAAACTTCTTACCCTTGGATTTAATAACACATTCCTAGATATAACACCAAAAGCATGAACAAGAGAAAAAATAAGACAAATTGGACTTTGTCAAAACTAAATGGTTTCATGCATCAAAGAACACTAAGAAAGTAAAAAGAAACAAACAAAAACCAAAAGGAAACCCTAAAGTATATATCTAATGAAGGTCTAATATCCAGAATATATAAGTAATTCTTGCAACCTAACAATGAAAATTTTAAAATGGGCAAAGGTTTTGAGACATGTCTGTAAAGAAGAAATACAAATGGGGCCAGGGATTTAGCTCAGTGGTTCCACCTCCTGCCTTGCAAGCACAAGGTCCCAAGTTTGATCCCTGGTAAAAAAAAAAAGATATACAAATGGCCAACAAAAACATAAAAAGATGCTCAATATCATTAGTCAGTAGGAACATGCAAGTCAAAAACTGCAGTAAGAGGGCTGGGGATTTAGCTCAGTGGTGCCGCCGCCTGCCTTGCAAGTGCAAGGTCCTGAGTTCGATCCCCAGTACCAAGAAAAAAAAAACCTACAGTAAGATACCTCTTTACACCCATTAGAATGGCTATAATTAAGAGAGAAAAATAACAAGTGTTGGCAAGGACATGGAGAAATTGGAACTGTCCTACATTACTAGCACAAATATAAAATGGTACAACAGCTGTATAAAACAGTTTGGCAGTTGGAGTTCTTCAAAAGTTAAACATAGAATAACCATATGATCTAACAATTCCACTCCATATACACACTCAGAATTGAAAACAGGTACTCAAACATTTGTATGTGAAGAGTTGATGTTAACACAATTTATAATGGCCAAAAGATGAAAACAACCCAAACATCCATCAACAGGTAAATGGATTAAAAAAAAAAAAGATACATGTATACACAATATAATGCTATTTAGACATAGGGAAGAAGTACAGACTCATATCACCATCTGGATGAACCTCTAAAACATAATGCTCAGTGAAAGAAGACAGCAATAAACAGCCAAATACTGAATAACTCTGTCTATATGAAAGATCTGTAATAGATGAAACAGAAAGGAGACTGATGGCTGCCAGGGCCAGGGAGCACACAGAAATGAAGAATGATTGATGAAGAGGCTGTGGTCTTAACCATCATCCTAGTTAAGCTTCAGAAGACTTAGTCCCAGCTCTCATGTGACTACAACTGCATGAGAGACCCCAGGAAGGAACTGCCAGATGAATCCAGTCAACTCACAGAAGAGTGAAGAATAATAACTTGTTCTTTTAAATCACAAAAAACCCTCATTCACACACACACACACACACACACACACAAACACACCCTTTATCCAATATGCTTGAGTCCAGAAGTGTTTCAGGGTTTAGAGTTTTTAGAATTTTGAAATTTATAGAGATTTTACTGGCCAAGCACCCCTAATTAAATTCTGCAATCTGTAATACTCCAAGATCTGAAACTTTTAAAGTACCAACATGACACACAAAAATTTTGGATTTCAGATTTTAGATGCTCAGATCAGAGACAATGAACTTATAAAAAGCATTAGGGAATTTTGTTTAATACAGTCTTCTGGATTTCTGTTGGTTTTTAAGACTGCAGATGCAATTATAACCTGGATAGCATTTGAAAATTAAAACAACATACTTGTAGGTAATTCATGAGTGAAAGAAGAAAGAGAAATTTAAAAATCTAACTGAATGAAAATAAAAAAGTCAAAACTTGTGGGATGCAGTTAAAGAAGCATTTAGAGGGAAATTTATACCTTTACAATGCTCTTATTTAGAAATAAAAAGGTCTAAAATCAACAGCCCTAAAGCTCCACTTATCACTTCTTGGTGTTTTGGATAAGATCAAGTGTAAAGCTCCACTTTGGTAGGTTACAAAAAGTTAAAGTTTACCAAAACAGAAAGTAAATAATAAATATTAGAAAAGAAATAAATGAAATAGAAAACAAATAATAAAGAAAGTTAATTAAAATCAAAAGCTGGATCTTTAACAGTTAAATCAGTAAGTCTATAGTTATGTGGGCCAAGTGAAAGAAAACAAGAAGCTACTCCTGAAATTCCACCACTCTGGGAGACTGAGGCAGAAGGATCACAAGTCTGACCACAGACTAGACAACTCAGTGACTCAGTGAGACTCTGTCTTTAAATAAAGGAATTAATGAATGGGCTGGGGCTGTAGCTCAGTGTGAAGGTCCAGAGTTCAATCCTCTGTAACAAACAACAACAACAAAAACCAATACTAGTAACTACATAGAAGTTATCACTGTACACCCTACAGATACTTAATGGACAATAAGAATATTATAACAACTTTATGTAAATAAACTTGACAACTGAGAGGAAACAAATTCTTCAAAAAACAAAACTTTAAAAAAACACAAGATGAAAATCTGAATTGCCCTACAGTTGAACTCATCACTAATACATTCCCTCCACAAAAAAGTTCAATCCCAGAACATTTCATATGTGAATACTACCAATTTTCCATTATATAAGAGGAAAGAACAGTTTCTAAGATATTTAATGTGATAAGTATTATTTGAATACTAAAATCTAACAAAGATACTACAAGAAATTAGTACCCCTCATTAACACTGAAAGTTCTTAACAGAATATTAGCAAATAACATCCAGCTATAGATAAAAAAAATGGTAGTGTATCATGATTAAGATTTATCCCAGGAACACAAAATTGGTTTAATATTTGAAAAATTACTGTAATTCTAAATATTAGCAAAAGATAGGGGGGAAAATATATGATTGTCCCAACATATACAGAAAAAGCACTGACAAACATGATAAAAATCTCAGCAAATGAGGACTAGAAAAAAACAATCTAATAAAGGGTTCCTGGGCCAGGATTTAGCTCAGTGGTTTTGCCGCCTGCTGCGCAAGCGCAAGGACCTGAGTTTGATCCCCGGTACCGCCCCCCCCCCAAAAAGGGCTCCTATGATAACACAGTTTCATAATACTTAGTAACGAAAAAGTAAACTGTATCTCTCTAAAATTAGTAGGAAAAGATCCCTGATTTACCACTTCTATTCCAGACTGTACCAGCCACTGCCAATAAACCAATGAAAAAATTGGGATAAAGATCAGAAAAAAATAAAACTGCCCTGGTGAATTTATAAAACTATTAAAATAAGTGAATTTGGGAAGAATAAGTCAATTTATAAAGGTCTCAAGATACAAAAGCCAATTATATCTTTACAAACAATTACAATTATAATTGTAAAAGTTCTACTTAAGCTAAGTGTGGGAGTACACACATCTTGTCCCAGCTACTCAGGAGGCTGAAGCAGGATCACTTGAGCCCACAAGTTTGAAAAACCAGCCTGGGCACCACTGCAAGACCCCGCTTCAAAAAAAATTCTATTTAGAATAGCATCAGGAATATAAAATATATAGAAATAAATATAACAAAAGATATGCAGGGCCTCAACATTGACAATTACAAAATACATACAGAATTTTTTTTTCAATACAGTACTGATTGATTATAGGGGCTTCACACTGTGCTACATCCACACCCTTTTTTTATTTTTTACTTCTCAAACAGGTTCTCACTAAGGCACTGAGTTGTGGAGGCTGGGCTCAAACTTGTAATCCTCTTGCCTCAGCCTCTCAGAGTGGTGGGATTACAGGTATGTGTCACCACACCCGGCTTTGCCCGCAGAAATTTAAAGACCAAAATAAATGAAGAGTTATACAATTTTATGAACTGGAATGCTCCAAATTAATTAAAAATTAAGAAGAATAAAAATGAATTTAGAAATTGGAATTTTAAAACTAAATTAAAATTGTTTCTCCCCAAATTGATTAATGGGTTCAACTAAATCCAATCAAAATTCCAGTAATATAGTTTTTAAAAACTGACAGGGTAGGGCTGGGGATTTAGCTCAGTGGTTCTGCCGCCTGCCTTACAAGTGCAAGGTCCTGAGTTTGATCCCCGGTACAAAAAAAAAAACAACAAAAAACTGACAAGGTAATATATCATATATTCTGAATTTCAAATGACCATCAAAAGCCAAATCTGTTTCCCAAAGAACAGAGGAGGAAGGCTTACATTACTTGCTTTCAAGACTGACAGTAAAATAACACTAATTAAAACATTGTAGAACTGATGAAAGATAAGTATAAACCAACAGAGCAAAACATTATCTAGAAACTGATCTGTATATATATTGCCAACAGATCTGCAACAAAGATCCCAAGGCACTTCCATAGAAAATGCACATTCTTTTCAACAAATGGTGCTAAAATATTTGACTATCTAAGTAGGGAAAAATTAACTCTAAATGGATCACAGACAATGTAAAAGCCAAAACTATAAAGCTGCTAGGAGAAAATATAAGAGAAAATATTTATGATGGTTGGGAAAGACACTGATTTCTTAGATAATACATAAAAAGTCTGAATCATAAAAATGACATACAGAATTTCATCAAAATTTAAAACTTCTGTTCCTCAAAAGATACCACTAAGAAACAGACAGAAAGAAAGAAGCCACAAAATAGAAGACATTCAATATTCAGTACACCTACAACTATCAGACAACATATCCAAGAACAAACGGGTAATTATTGCGTACAATGCAATAAGACAAGCAACCGAATAGGAAAATGGGGGAAAAACACTTGAAAAGATCAGTCAACAAACAAGATGCACAAATGGGACATAAGCGCACGTACACACACACACACACACACACACACACACACACGCTCATCATTAGCCAGAAAACTATTTCAAATTTTTAAAACCAAGAGATATAATAACATACCTACCAGAATGGTTAAAACAAACAAAAAATCCGGTAATAAAAACACTGTCAAAGATGTGGAACAAATAAATTCTCAGATATTTTGGAGTTGGGCATGTAAAGCAGGATGAGCTAGAAGAGCATGAGGATGCTTTCCACAGGTATGGAAATGCTCTATTACTAAATTGACAGTAGACATGGTTGAAATTCAAAATTATACATTTTAAATAGTTTATTTTATCTAACTTTAAAAAGTGAATTAATGTCAAGTAGCAATATGTAACTTCAAATAATTTTTTAAGAAGCCTTTGCACGGCAAAAACCTGACAGGCAAAGTCAAAGCCAATAGAAACTATTTCCAACTTAAATCACAAAATGCTAATCTCGCCAACACTTAAAGAGCTTACCAAAAAACTCAAGAAAGATGTATCAAAAGTTTAATAGAGAAATGAGTAAATGATATGACAGACATTTTACAGAAAAAGGTAAGAATGGTGTTTAAACATGAAGAGATGGGTGCACAGGTAGTAAAAAAAAAAATTAAGAATCAAGATACATCATGTACAGGTAAAAACAACTCAATGATAAATGTAAACGTATTGTATACCTAAAATATACCAATAAAAGAACTTAAGAATAAAACATGAAGAGTTGTTCAACATCATTCATAAAAGAAAGCCAAAAACTCCAATGAAATACTGTATAGGCATCACCACTGATATCACAAAAAGAATTCAGATTCCATGTGCTTCCTGGCAGAAGATATGATACCATCTATAAATACTTTGAGACGAAAAACACAAACACACAGATACACACACACACACACAAACCTGAGTCTGACCAACACTAGCTGCAACTACTAATTTATATGAAATATAGAAGACAATGGAAGAACAGAAATTCAAATGGCAAAATCTATACAGTAAAAAATTTCTTAAAATAGAAATTTCTTAGAACTAATTTCTTCAAAATTAAATTAAAAAAGCAATAGGGGAAAAGGAACTAGAAAGAAATCTACAAGCTAAAAAGAACTTTAAAAGACATTTGGACCAACCACAACATGTGGACTTTATATAAGGTCTATTAAAAAAGAAAAAAGGCTGGGATATAGCTCAATAGTAGAGCACTCCTAGGTTCGATCCCCAGTACTGGGGTGGGGGGCGGGGAGCAGGGAGGGAGACCTGACATATTTAAGAAAATGGGAAAACTATTGCCTGATACTAAGGAAAGAAATAAATATTATGCTGTGACACTGGTATTGTGGAAATATTTACTAATAGATAAAATTATCTAGGATTTGTTTCAAAATAATTTGATGGTGAGAATGACTGGAAAAGGCAGGCCTGGGTTGAGTTGCTGAAGCTAAATGATGGGTGGTGCATGAGTTTAATTACAATACTTTCTACTTCTGTGGATGTTCACAATTCCCCATTACAGAAAAGTTTTTAAATATCTATACCATACAAAGACACCATTGCTCATCTACCAGACAGGTAAAACTTCAAGAGCTTGACAATACTCTATAATGCAAGAAAATAAGAATTCTCTTACATTGCTGATGAGAATGCAAAACAGTAAAACTCTATGGAGGTGAATCTGACACTATTTAACAAAATAACAGATGCATTTATTCTCTGATCCAGCACTCCTACTTGGTATTATAATCTAAAACTATTTTATGAACATGATAGGATTTATAAACATTATAGGATGATGTAAATAGGACAATACTGACTAAAATTATTAAACATTTATTTGTTATTAGGAACTAAGATTGTCACAGCAAGAGGAAAGAAATACAGACACAAAAAGAAAACCACACCATGAATTCAAAATACTATTAACTCATGTCTTTGAAAATATGATAATAACAGAATATCACCACTTTGCAATCCCAACATAATTACAAATTTAAGCAAGCATCTGCAATGAACACTAAAACCACCAGATGAAATGTTCCTAGGGAACAGAATTATCATACAGTCTGAAAATATCAGCCCACAGTTTTCTTACTAATTACAAAGAGAAAAGTGTATCTCTCCAATGGAGAGATCTCATAGCTTCACTATTACCAAATGATTTAGAAACTTCTAGGTCCTAAGAGATACCAATTCTCTCTCAGCAGACCATGCTTTATATGATTCCACTGATATGAAATATCCAGAATGGGCAAATGCATAAAGATAAAAAGTAGATTAGTGGCCCCCAGGAATGGAGGGATAGGAAGGAAATGAATAGCTGCCTTAGGAAGATACAGGTTTCATCTAAGTAATAAAAAAAAAAATTCTAAAGTTGATTGTGGTGATGGCTGCACAACTATGAATACACTAAAAATCAGTGAATTGTACACTTTAAACGAGTAGATCAGATTATATGGTGTGAACTGAATCTCAAACAGGCTGCTTTCTTTAAAAAATGAAATAACTATAATTATCTTTCATCCTAGAAAACACGAGAAACCCTGAGGAACATTTCACCTCCCATACCTCTGAATGTTGCAGTGTCTCAGAGAGTAATCCGTGAATCTCTTTTTTATGTACTTGGTCTCTTGGTAAGCTCACTCACACTCATTCTCTTGGGACTAGAGTGAAAATTCCAAATTGCTATCTCTAGCCCTGAATTCTCTGCTGAGCTCTGCATTTGAGTGTACCACTGATCTATTTACTTACCCAACATTCACCTCAAACTCATAGAACTGAGCTCCAGATACTCCGTGCAGAATCCTGATTCTCTGTCTTCTCCATCTCAGAAAACCGTTACTCGCTTTATCCCTTCTTCAGGCAAAATATCTTGGAGTCACACTTAATGAAGTCTTCTTTCTATCTCATTCCATGTCCAGTCCATCAACAAATTCTGTTGTCTCTATCTTCAAAATACTGTATATCTAGCATCTCACCACTTCCCATCACTTGCTATCATTCTTGTCCAAGTGACCATTATCTCCCACCTTGATTACTACAAGGACCTCATTGTTTCAGCCCTTGCCCCACTTCAATCTGTTCTTAAGATGACAGTCAAGAGTGATCTCATTAAAATATATATTCAAGTGTTTACTCAATAAACACATATATTACTACCTGCCCAGACCTGTTCTAATCCTTATAGTTTAATCCTTATAACAACACTTTTATAGATGAGAAAACTAAAGCACTTACCCAAGTCATCTGGTTAGGAAGTGGCAGAGACAGGATTCAAACAAGGGGAGTTGATGCTTGCTCTGCAGTGGATATCAACCTTAGCTGCTTATTAAAATTATCTGGAAGTGTTTGAAAATCCTGGTGCCTAGAATTGCCTGATGCTCCCTGTCAGACTAATTAAAGCAGAAACTCTCGGATGGGATCCAGACATCAGTACTTTTTTTAAAGCTCCCCAGATAATTCCAATGTTCAACCAAGGTTGAGAACCATTATTTCAATAGGATCCCATCCCAGTCAAAGTAAAAACCAAAGCCCTCACAGAGGCCTATAGGCCTCACCTCCCTGCTCAACCCATCCCAACCCTGAGACTCTTCATTCACTCATCTGGCCACTTGGACCCACCAGACAAGCTCCCTATTCAGGGCCTTTTAACTCAAAAGTCACTTTCTTTAGTGAAGCCTTCTCTAAGATCTTATCTAAAATTGCATATTCTCCAAACTGGCCCACTATTTCCCCTCTCCCTTCCTTGCTTCATTCTTCTCTTTAGCATTTATCAATATAGAATAAATGATACCGTTCAGTATTATGTGTTTCTTGTTTGTTTTCCCACCCTGGAATGTAGGATGCCTGAGAGCAGGGAATTGTTTTATAGTATTAACTATGTTTTCTCCAATGCCTAAAACAGTTGGCACATGCAAGGCACTCAAAAACTATTTGCAGAATGAAGTATAACCCATAATTATTGCATCAAATATTAATATTGAAGTTTCCAGACACAAAGTTGCCTTTTCCTCATCAGAAAAGAAACCATTTAGCAGATTTAATTGGTTTGTTTACATGATGGAAAGAAAAAAGGGCCAGAGTAGGAACCGAACTCAAGGCCTTCATACTGAGTTATATTCCCAATCCTGTTTGTTTTCTATTTTGAGACAGGGTTTCCCTAAGAAGCTAAATTACCCAGGCTGGGCTCAAATGGGAATGGTTCTAGGACCCACACAGATACCAAAATGTGTTGATGTTCAAGTCCCTTATATAAAATGGCACAGTTAATACATAACCTTTACACGTCCTCTCTATACTGTAAAGTATCTTTAGATAACTTATAATACAACACAACTGCTATGTAATTAGTTGTTCACCATATAATGACAAGAAAAAGAAAGCCTGTTTATGTTCAATACAGATGAATTTTATTTTCAAATATTTTCACTCTGTGGTTGGCTGAATCTGAAGATACATGGGCAGATTGTGTAAGAATTAATCTACAAAGTCAGGCATGGCTTCCTTTCCTCCCTGCCCCACACACGCACCTCAGTGCTCTGGCACCCTAACCATCACCTTACCATCCTTACCCTCTATAGAAGCAGTTGACAGAAGGGGGAAAGAATTACAAGTCTTCCAAGTTTTCAGGGAGAATGGGGGAAAGGAAAGAGGCATACAAAAAAGTGGGAAGGGCTCCAAGATCTTAACTGCCTAGAAAAGGGGAAATTGGCATCTCACTCTCCAGTCCAATATCTGGCTATACAGTAGACCAACTATGTGAGCAAGAAGACAAACAGAATTATGAGAAGTGGCAAGACAGAAAGGGGTAGATGTAAGCAGCCTGCGTGCCACTACCTGACATTAGAAGGAAATGATTTTCCAGTAGGTTGAGTGGAAACTGCAGAAGTAACTGGACTCAAGTAGTCTTGTTAAAAAGTCCTCACCCCAACTCATCCCCATTCATTCACAGAAACAGGCAGGCAAGTGTAGTTAGTTTGGTTTAGCAGCACAAATTTCATATACAGTAATTATGAAGTAGGGCATCTCCCTGAAAGATCTCACCAAAAATGCCAGTCTCATAGTCTATCAGTGGACATTAATGGTCTACCACTGTGAAGAGATGACTTTAGAAAAACCAAATAAGAAATACTTGCCTTTTTCTGTTTTTCTTCTCACTAGTCTCTGTACAAGTAGGTTCCCAAAGAGGGAAATCAAAGAGGTATCCTAAGATCATACCACAATCCTTTCTGACCCTAAATGCTCTAGGCAGTAAGTGGCCAGCACTGTGATAAGGGAGAAATGAAGTTCTACACGGAATGTGAAACTGATGGTTTAAACTGGAATAGACTGGAGATTTTAATAGCTATAAATGATAGAAAAGCTATCATTTACCCATGATGCCACGAGGCAGGAGGAAGGAAGGGAGAGGAAGATGCTAGAAAGAATAGTTAAGGGCTGGGATTTAGCTCAGTGGTGCTGCGCCTGCCTCTCAACCGTAAGGTCCTGAGTTTGATGCCTGATACTAAAAAAAAGAATAGTTAAAAGCAGTGAATGATGAAAATTTAAACTGTTTTGTTTGTTCTTACCAAGCTTTAACTGGTCAATAACCTGACGACATATGAAACTGCATTACTGCCTTTAGAAATGGGGGGGAACACCTACATGGAAATTCTCAGGGGGGATTTACTGTACGGGGTCAGAAGCCACATTAGAAGCCCTCTGAGATTACTTCTCTTCAAGAGGTTAAATTGAATCCAGAATCTAGAACTAAAAAATTCTTCAAAGGCTGGGCTGCCTAAAGGGGCCTTTTGAAGAATAAAGCTATCAGACTGACAAGTCTGATAAGAGTTTCATTTAGAAATAGTATTTTACTTTAAAACAATTTTTTAAAATCCTAAATGACTCTAATTTCCTTTTATAGTCAACAAAACTTCCAGTTCAAAGAAAGCTTGACATAAAATCCCCAAAACACTACTTACTGAACCAAAGCTATGAAACTATCCAAAATGCTTAGTAAAAACAGCAGCAAACGTTCGCTTAACTATCTTGTAGGAATAACAAATTCACACATTCTTTATCACAGGTACCTACAAGGAAAAAATATTACTTAGGGTTAAATGATTTAAAGTACTCTTTAAATGTAACAATCCTAATCCTATAGTAAATATCAATAGGGAGTTTCATTTTTACATAAAACATCATATATATGCAATTAAGCATTATAGTTAAATATCTAAAGCTACTGAAAGTTTCTGCCCCATAAAATATTTTTAGATGCTATGTCAATAAATTTTCAAATGCTGTATGCTCACAGATGGTTAAAAAAACCTAAAACTATATTTTCATATTTATCTCCTACTGAATCTATTTTACTGTATCTTGGTGGATCTGAAATGCAATAAATCTTTAAATTTAAAATTAAGTTTTAGGGCTGGGGATTTAACTCAGTGGTTCCACCGTCTGCCTCGAAAGCACAAGGTCCCGAGTTCGATCCCCAGTACCAAAAAAAAAAAAATTTAAGTTTCAGTATTACCAAAAGTAAACTATTTAAGAATGTGAAAAAGTAACTGTGCATTGGAATCAAATGGGGGAACGGGAGTTACTGCCATATACTTGAAATTTTCTAACAAAGACAGAGTGTAACCACTGTCACATCTGAATAATTATTAATTCTATTCAGAGAACTATCTTCCTTATTCTTACATGGTAGAGAGTTACCTACACAAGAGTAAGAATAATATCAAACAATATGTCAATGTCAAAGTCTGACTTAAATTATGCTAATAAATTACTCTGAAGATTTCATTCTGAGTTACAAACTATACAGTGAAAATAACTGGCATATGTAGTGCAACTATAAGAAAAACAGGAACTTTGAGGTTTAGGTCAGAAAGTCATTTTCTGAAAAGCTCTATTAAATGCTTTTAGGGGAAAAAAATCCTTATTAAAATGTTTCCTCTTTTCTCAAGTACCTTCCTATGAATTCTTCAATAATACAGTATCTTCTATGCTATCAACCAACACTTGAATATTGCCTTCAATGACTTCTTAAAGAAAAGATCCCAATGCTATTCTTAACATCCTTAAATACTTCTAAAAAGGTCCTTCCGGCTTATGGACTCACAGCAGTTTCCTCACAATTGTGTACTTATCCTGTTCCACTGTCTCTCCTAGTCTATGACATACTCAAATTTACACACCACCTCTATTTCCTATTTTGCTACATTGCTAAAACTGGAACGTAAAAGGATACAAACCCACTACTCCTTCCCACCCTCAAAGCAACAATAAAACTATTAGTTAGCAAGACAAAATGAGATAAAAAGCAACATATGTCACATCTTAGTGTGGCAAAAAATATCCATTGCTTACCCTAAAGGATAATTCACAGCCATATACAATATACAGTACCTTAATAGATATATTCTTCAAGAGAATCTGTTAATGGAAACACTGTACAATTTATAGCACTATAAAATAAACTATTAAATTTTGCCAACCTCAATATTCTTCTTTAACTGTATCAGTACTCTAAAATGTGATTTCCCTTGAGAAGATCTGGCCAAAGAAATGAACAGTGAAGCAAACTTACTTGGGGAAATATTCTGCAACCCAAGTGAGTCAATTTGAAAAATTACTAGTATGAAAGAGATACTTTAGTCAGAATAAATCTTATTATTTTTGAAAGAGTAGTTCTTCAGATAACAAAAATTTTCAAAAATTATTTTTTTGGCCAAGTTTTTCTCTGAATCACAAAACCCTCAAATTTTTCAATGGCATTAAACATAGAAAGTATGAAAGTGAGTACCTGGGAAATAAAGCAGACTGCTCAGTAGTTCTAAGATAAAAGACAATGATATAAACCTCAGAGTGTGCTATTTGTTCCAGCCATTAAACATACAGGAAATAAGGTTTTCTACTTAGAAAACTAATTCACAAACGGCAATGACTTCATTAAAGAAAAGAAAATCTTATTAAAATAGACAACAATCAATTGTAAAGCATGAAAACAATTACTAGAAAGGATTGAAAGGTCAAACAGAAGAGGAAAATGACATAAATTGTCTAAATTTCTGCCTTTAACCTCTTCTCAGACCTGCCCCTCAAACAGCAATCGAGTTTCATTATTAATACGAGCCATGGCAGATGCTCTGCTTCGCGGCATAGCATAGCTAAAATTCTATCAAAAGCTGTAAACCCCTTCAATAACCAGACCACTTTCATTACGACAACACTACTTCAGGAGGGTCAATAGAAAGCATTTGAAATAAACCACAAATCACCCAGGACTGCCCCCTCAGAGGTGCGGTTGGTAGGTGGCCTCAAGACCTGGGTTCTGGTCCCTCCCTGGTCCACCTACGTGACCTTAGGCGAGTCATCAACTCTCCCACTGGCCATCAACACCACCAAGGTGCGAAGGTCAATCACGCATGCTGCAAGACCTCTGCCTGCTCGAAACCGCATTAAAAAACTAGAGAAGGATGCCCAGCAGCATCAGCCCCGGGGGTTCGGCCCTAGAGTGGTGCCACTCCAACAGGCGTTGCCACCGGGAATCTCCGGACAGCTGCCCGGGCACAGCGCTTCCAGAGCGCGCTCGGGAGGAAGGGAAGGAGGAGGCAGGGGCGCGACTATACTTCTCGGCGGGGACACCGAGGCGCTCCTCGGGCCTGCGACGGGCGCGCCTCCCTGCCTTTGCCGCCCGACACCGCCGAGGCTGAGGTCCGGAAGACAGTCGGGCCCCGGGAGGCGGACGCCGCCGCGAGCTGGCGCACAGGTGAGCCTGCCCGGAGGCCCAGCCAGGTGCGGCGGCGCGGGGAGGGGGCGCGGCCCCTCAGCGGACGCCTCCCGCTCGCCCCGGCTGGCGTGGCGCTTCTGGAGCCCCGCCGCCGCCTCGCACCCGGCCTCGCCACCACCTACCCCCTCCCCAGCGCGGCCACGCTCCACACACCCTACTTTGCCGCGGACTCGGTCCAGAGCACCGGCGCCACCGCGGCCCCGTCTCCCACAGGTTCTCGGCTGCTGGTAGCGGCGCCCACGACGGCCCGCCCGCGCATTGCGCACGCGCGCCCGAGCCGCTCAGCAGCCCCCCCCCCCCGACAGCGACTGAGATTCCGGAGCGGACACTCCCACTTCGCGGAGACTCTAAGTCCCGGCAGGCTCCGCGCGCGCCCGGCGGCGTGGCGGGCCGGGGTTCGGACGTCTTCCTGGTCCCGCAGCGCTGGCCGAGCTGCTCCGAGTGGGAGGGCCGCTCCTGGAGAGCCCGGCCCCTACCCCGCGGTGTTTCCTGGGACTAGTAGTTCTTGAGGACCACGAGGCTTGGCTCGGAGGTGGGACTCCGGGTTCTCTGAGGTCATCGCCTGGAGCTTCGGGACGCAGGGATCTTTAAAAATAGGCTTCTTTCGTTTGCAGATAATGTGTTTGCAAGCTGTCCCACAATCCGTCCTAGAGGCTGCGGTGCGACTTGGAGAAAAAGTGCTTTACAGCTCTGCTTTCCAATTTTTCGCTTCTTAACTATTTTTTTCTCCCTAGAAATGCAGCTCTACCTCCTACTTGGTGTTAATGGGACAGAAGGAGAAGAAAAACTTTAGAAGTAGCCGAAATTCTTTCAGGACACATATATTCTTATAAATATTTATAAATGTTTAACGTAATTGTTGAGCACTTAACAATGTGCCAAGCGCCTGACCTTTTGCAGCCTGCGTTTGGTAAGGGGAGCTGGTGTGTATACAAGCAAGATGATTACAGATTTGGAGGTTGAGATGTGGAACCCTAAATTGCCCACGGTGGGCTCGAATTTGCAATCCTACCTCAGCCTACCACAGTGCTGGGACTACAGCCTCTTGACAGGTCTTAGTGCAACAGAGAGACAAGTTCCAGAGATAGTTTCAGGGGAGGCTTCTTCCAAGAGAATAGTCATGGAAAGTTGCCTGATGAAGTGTTGTTTGAGTTAAACTCTGAAGAATGAAAAATATTCAGACATGGAAAGAAGTGGACTTTTACAATGCATGGCATACCTTACTCTTAATAAATATTTGTTCCTTTTGTGTCCTTCCTTGCCTCTCCCTGCACACCCTGAGAGCACATCCTTGCCCCTTCAGAATCTTTCATCAACATCTTTCAGAGGATCCTTCCTATGTGAAGATGAACACAAGACAGTCGGTGTCCCAAGGCAAGACATGTTCTCACAGATTAATAAGCTGATGGAATCACCTGCCTGAAATGCATCAAGCTGCATGGAATGCTCTGGTGCGGGCTCTCCAGCTGCCTAGATAACTGTTCTGTCGTGTTTTGAAAAACCTTAGCTCTGCACTCTCATTTCCTTATCTGTATAATAACTGAAAGAGATTGGTCTCGCCAGAGTCTATAAAATGAACAGTGCAGATTGTTTCCTTTGATCTATATGGTGGGTTATGTTGATTTAACTGAATGTGTGGCTGACATTAAAGAATAAAGAATTTTCATGTAAAAAAGCAGATGTCACCTGTCCTATCCTTCTGAGCATTTGAATTTTGGCCTTCCCTGGCTTAAAGATCTGGAAGAAGTCTCTAGCCTTTCATATCTTGGCTCCTAGAAGATTCCCAAAGGGCTATTTGAGACATATTTAACACAGATTTCCTATTTATCTAAAAAAAATTTTTTCATATAGGATGTTTTATAATCCTTTACATTTTTTTTAAAAAAGCAATTGCTTAACAGGACAAGTCCTCCGAATCAGTACAAAAGTATCAAGTGCATATACATAAGAGATCAACAGCACTGAATAGCACTCAGCAGTAATAGTGGAAACTATGCCTTGGACTTTCAGAAAGGCTTTTGGGCACAAAATTAAATGAGGACTCTTCCAACTTTGGGAGGCCATTATTCCCAAATTGTGCTGTTCTTTCTGATAAATAATGAATAAGGCAGAAGAAGAGCTGGTTCTGCTTTGGATTTTTTTCACCCCTTATTTCAAATGAGTGGAAAAGATAAACAGCTTCCCTCATTTCAAAGCAAAAAAAAATCCTCAAAAACAAGCCACTGTTGCCTTGGGCCCTGGGACACAAGTCCTGAGGCTGGCTCTGGAGCCCTAGGCTCTGCCAAGGTCAAGTCTGCATACCTGGAAGTGCGAGGTGAGAGGCCACGTTGGCCACTGAAGGATTTTACACACAGTTTGTGAAGAAGCTGCAGGACACAGCCAAGGAACACTTGACCATCCAGGCCCTGTCTGAGTCCTAGTCCCAGGGGGTGAGCATGACCCATGAGCTTTCCTAAGAAGCCTGAAAACATCTCTGGTCCCATCCAGCCAGTCATTCCTGGTAGAGCCCCTCGAGGCCTGCAGACTTCATAGCCAGCTGACAGTTGACACTGGGGTTTTGCTTTGCTGGTGGTCTATTAGAGCAGGGTTCACAGGCCGGGGGTTGATCTCGGCTCAGACACATCACCCTGGAAGAAAAGCAGTAGTTGATGAGGCTGGAGACCACCACGTAGGACACAATGATTGTCCCTAACAGGGCAAGTGATATGAAGACCAAACCACAGAGGACACAAAGTAGTGTAACACCACCCACAGAAATGACCAGTCCTTCCAGTAACAGGATTCCCACAAGAGCAGCCAGGGAGCTGAGCACCACGAGGAGCAGGAAGAACCCAACAGGGACAGCAGACATGGCCACGAACACCAGCATGGAGAGGGCCAGGAAAGGATGCCTGTCCAAGTACTGGCCCACTGGAGACTTCGTGAAGGCAACCACCTTTGAGTTATTCTGAAAGGACTTTATCAGCAAAGAGAGCTTCCTCTGGAGCTTCTGTAAGTCCTTTGAGACACTTGAGGGCTCTTCTTTGGCCATCTTCAAACTCACTTTAATCTCTTCAGGGGTTAATTCTCCTACCAGCAAGTTCTCTGTAGTACACAGTCCAATCTTTCACGTTTCCCAGTCTCTTGCTGTCGCCGGCGCCGGCGGCCCGCGGCTCCAGCAGTGAGTGCCGGTGAAGGACGAAGAACCGCGCGCAGGCGGGAGGCCTGGCTTCTTCCTCCACCCCGGAGCCGCCGGCCCCCTTATTTATCTAAAATTAAAATTCAAACTTAGCATCTTTTATTTGATATAAAAACCTTAACCCTGAAACCAGACCACTGAGGGAGAGTCCCTGACTTCCTCTGACCTGGAATCATTCTCTTGATCATTATTCCAATTTGACGTAATTGACTGAGTGGTGTAAAGTTGTTCTCTTCTCTTTTACACATAACAAGCCTCCAAAGACTGGCTTTGAGAGCCAAATCTACACAGGATGGAGGAAGCCAGAAAAGTAGCTCACTTTGCCCAAAGGCACACAGCAAGTTAATCCCAGGGGTACTCTGAGGTTGGGATATAACCAGAACTTGAAAGCTCCTGATCAGCCAGTAAGTGCAAACTGGAGAGGGGGAAAAGCTTTTTGCTTTTCCTCGGCCTTTTTTTTTTCTTTGGATAATGAACCTTATTACATAAGAGTACTTTAGTGTTATTTAAGGGGAAAAAGTATGTGGAATATTCCCCTGTTGAAATTACAATCTGAGAGCAAACCAAGAATACTCAAGACACAGTGAAGGCAATGAGGCATGCTGGAACATTCCATGGATCCTTGTCATCTGAAGAAAAAGGAGGAATCTGAATTCAAGATTCTGCAATTTACTTTTAAAACATCTTTATCACCACCACCACCACCATCATCATGTTTTGCACACACAAAATGCTTTCATGTTTCATTCAAAAAAAAATTTTTTTAGACAGTGTCTCACTGTGTAGTTCAGGAAGGCCTTCAACTCACTATGTAACCCAGACTGGCCTTGAACTCACAGCAATCCTCCTGACAGCCTCCCAAGGGCCAAAAATATTTCTTAATTTCTGTCTCTGTGCTTAGTCCTAGGCCCTGGATTCTCCCAAAAGACATCAGCCCCTTTGACAAAACAAAGTAAGAAAATATATTTACTCAAAATACACAGAATGTTACTAAGTACTGGTCACCTCTCTAATACAGTATTTGACTTTCCTTCTTCTGTGGACATTTTACATCTTACCTCTCTGCTTTATTTTTTCTCCTTAACAGAGATATAGATATAGATATAGATATAGATAGGTCTTATGATCTTTGGTCTTATTTATCTTGTTTTCTGCCTGTCCCACAGAATGCAACTTCCATGTGGACAGGGATTTTATCTGTTTTGCTCATTGCTGTATTCTTAGTGCCTTAAACAGAAACATCTGCTGAATGATGAATGCCAAAAACCTCCTTTGTGAATAGAGTAAGAACCAGAAGTCAAACAGAAGGGGCAATTCCAGAAGTAAGCACACATCTACCCAGAAATCAGAACCTACATATTGAAAGAAGTAAACATGAACTGATCGCTCTCTCAAAACCTAGTTTTGTTCTTCTGTGTCCTATCCAACAGAGTTCAAAACAGTTCTTCCTCATTTCTTGATGTAAAAGTGGAAGCTGTACCAGGGAAGGGAGTCGGGGTTTGCTTCTGCGGCTGAAGTTGGGAGGCACCTGGGCCCACCCACACACCTGACAACAACCTAGAGATAGGAAGGATGGTTCTTGGTAATTACTCAGAGCAGGCCAGGTGGAGGGACCCAGCCAGATTACAAACGAAAAGAAAGAGTCTCCTTCTGGAGCTAATTCTTGCATCCTAGGGTTTGGCACACTCTTTTTTCAGGAAAGAGGACCACCCCTATTTCATGTTTACTAAGGTATAAGAATAGGACTTCCAAACAGGTCAGCAAACAGTCCAAATTCCAGGACAGGATTTCCAGGAAAAGAAAAACAAAATGGGAGTCAGGGGAGATGACAGCCTCCAAGACTTGTAAAGGGCAGAACCAAGTCTTTCTGGTCTTCTGATCATCAGGCAGCAGGGAAAGGAGCCTAATCTTGAACATCTGGATAGATGTAATATCATGCCACTGAATGTCACCACAGCCCTAAAGGTCCCCAGCAATCCTGAATGAGGTCTGGGAGGTGCCCCCTGCATCAGATACCCTGGTTAGATCATACTCCAATTATTCTGACCATATTTGGCAGTTCTGGGATGCTGGTAAGCCCGAAAATTGAGGAGCACAGATTGCCTGTTATCATCCAAACATGTGTACTCTTGCTCCAATGTCATTCAAACTTGAAACACAAGGTTTTCTGAGGTTAAGGTGATCATCCAGGGCCGTGCTATGTTGCTGATTGCTGTGTTCAGGTGGGGTACATTCTAGATGGCGAAGGTTCTTTTAAAATAAAGCTGGAGAGGCTCTGGGGACAATTCCATTTTGGCTTCAAACCTTCTTAACCTATGGGAATTTCTCCTCAGACCTGCTACTACTAACTTGTCCACCTCCAGCAAAATTCTCCCTTCAGTCAAAAGTCACCAGTTTCTCTCATCCATCTCACCATTTCCCAGGAGAGATAATTAACATTCAACCACAACAACAAATGCCTTTATTTGTTCTAGAGGGTTGACTGTGCGTCATGCTCTGACCCCCAAAGAAGAGAAGTATAGAAGTTATAGCTTTCACCATGAGCCCCTGGTTGTCACGGACTCCACCCTAGGAAAGAAAGTCAAGAAGGGCTTCTGTGTTGGCCAGCTAGTTGACCTTGGGCTCATTACCTTACTTCTTTGAGGTTTAACAATTCCTCATCTGTAAAATGGAGATGTAGTAGATCCTACTTCAGAGCTTCTTCGTTAGTCTTAAGTGAAATAATGCATGTAAAACTCTAGAACATAAGAATGTCCGCAATTGCATTAAGTAATTTAGCACAATTCCTGAGCCTTCTTGACCAAGGAAGACATTAACACACTCACAGTGTCTGGCTGGGGCAGTGGGTAGATTTGAGAATTCCTTTAACTGCTATGAACTTTCACACATATTGGGGTGATTGCAGTAGGATTGGAGTCTAGGATCTTGGGGAATTTAGCATAGCTACAGAGCAGGGCCATGAGGACCTGGTGTTGGAGAAGTAGGACTGATGTGGAGGGACTTGGGAAGGACTCAGACTGGGTGGAGGGATTTTGAGTTGTCTCCTTAAATGTACCCTGTCCCCTCTCTCCTGCCCACAAAAATACATAAATATAAGTAAGTTGACAAAGGTAGACTATGGCAGGACTGGGATAGCTTCATCGTTTTTGGCTCCCTCAGAAACATTTTTCGTTTCTTCCTGATAGTTTCCAGGTTGCTCCCCTTGGCCAGAACTGTCCCACCCCCAGCTGAACTGCAGAGGCAGCTCTAAAAATAGTGTGCCTTCACCGACCCCCTGGCGTGTAAATACATCTTTGTTCCTGGCTGGCATTTAATAACTGTACTTTATGGTAAAACAAAAGCTGTAATCAGAGCCCAACAATGGAAGCTGCAGTCAGCATGAACAATACTCAGAATTCCCATGGTGATCTCCCCCGTCCGCAGCTGTGAGAACCAGAAGTCTTATGCATGAATTCCATTCACAATTATTTGCCCAGTTGCACTGTGGCTTATTCGAATCATAGCTTTCCTGCCTCCTCAGTGGGGCTTTTGAGGGGATGAGAAGGGATGCCAAGATTGGACTCCAGCTAAGAGCAGGTGTACATGTAGAGGGAAGGCCTGGTGACACAGCCAGATTGCCTCAGGCTGGAGACTTCAGCAGCCATCTCTGCACCAGCACTTCATGCAAGAGTTCCTTCAGATAAAAGAGAGCATTGCACCTATTTCCTGAACTGAAGCTGCATCTTGCACATTCCAGGATAAGCCCAGCAGCTGTCTTCTGCTCCGAGG